TTTCATGAACAATGGTCCTGATCATAAACAATCACGCAGTCTTCTTCTTTCGCATGACTGATGTAAATGCAGAGCAACGACTACAGTTTCATATTCAGGTGGTCAAGCCATACAACCAAGTCAGAAGCAGGGGAGTAGTGTATCATCGCTGTGATGTCTCTCCTTCATAATTGTGGATCGGGCAGTGAGATACACCGAGACATTATGACAGTAAACATAAACAACTGTGCTCAGCTTTCAAGTGATTTCTTTAAAAAAAACTCGCACGGTAACTCATTGTCGCACCAGATAGCTTGTACCCCATATATTTCCCTCACCAGTTCTGAAATGTAAAAATGCCTTGATGAGCCTACTCTTCGATGAATACTGTATCACAAACAAACAAACAGTAGCACATATCCCAAAGTATATTTAATATGATATGAAATAACTATAAAAGTGTCATAGGTATTGACTACACCAAGATATTTTTCATTTGTTTAAAACAATGTTGGTTTTGTAAAGTTGCATGAAACAAAGCATTGGTTTACTACGACTGGTTGTGCATACATAATATGTACTGGAATATCTGGTTATGGAAACCCATGAAGCTATCAAGCATGTAATTGCTAAATATCTTCTTCACACTTTTTATCGTAAGGCAAGTGCCCTAAGATGTGCCTTAAAATAAAGGCAGAAAGTGAGAGTAAGGTTATAACATCCATTCATTACGTATGACAAAAACATACTTACACAAATCTCTCTGGGAATATCTATAAATATAATTTATTTAAAAGGTCTCCATGCTCGAACGAACTCGAACGAGCATGGAGACCTTGGAGAGCATGGAGTGTGATCACCTCCATTGTGTAAATTCCACGTTCCTATGGCATGGGACAGTATATTTGTAAGGAAACCACTACTGACTTCCTACAAAGCCGTACAGTACATTGCATTCTCCAAAAAATGATGGGCTGATTCAATCCTCCACGAGGATTTGAATGCATGACCTTTCGATTGTGAGTCAAGCACTCTGCTACAAAGAGACTGATTAAAATACCTTGTGTTCAATTACAATACAGCAGTTACTTTGCATTACTTCATTTCTTCACTGTCAGTACAATACGGCCAATCAGTACAGGTGCCTGAGTGAAGAGTGATGAAGATGGCTATTGCTATAACGGAAACGTTCAACAGTCTCCTGGGACCACGTCCCAAACCTGGCACCTGCAGTGCTACGTGCAATGTGAGGCTTCCATTTCATCTGACAGAACGATGCACACCTCAACCACAAGATCACATTACACGCAGCCCTGCCATCACCTATCCACTGTCTCTTGGATGAAAACTTCCAATATAAGCATGTTTTAATATAATTATATATATATCAGTGTATCCAATTAATTCAGGCCTAAAGTTGGGGAACATCAAACATAGGTTGGGTGGAGAAAACTATTTTCTGTTCACCCCACCTATGACCCAGATAGGTAAAACAATCTCAAATGAGCCATGTGTAACGCTCATCGTCACTGACTGTGCTGGCCTCACATTGTGAATATTTCACATTCCTTCTGAAGTTTACGATCTGCACACCACAGGCGATGTTGATTTTTCAACAATTTCTGCGACGGTCTTGTGTAATACTGGAACAGCTCCACTTTAAAATCTCCATGTGTGTCACTGGGGACAGTGACAGTGTGAAGAAGATGCACTCTACTCGCAAGTTTTTTTTCGGATAATGAAAGGAATGCTTTATTCAATCTGCTTAGTTGCACACATTTGACATTCCCAACGGCTTGCCGTGAAAAATGATCCCCTGCCAAAATGTGTAAAATGATACCATCAGAGGGAGTGATTGCTGCCAGCTTACCATTACAGAATCATTTAAAATAATCCACAAGTTCATATTGGCAATGATCCATCCAAGTGTTTAATCTACCAGATGCAATGTGCACTGTTAAAGCTGCTTGTATGGTTTTAATTGTATTTTTTATCATACAAAATATAACATTCCAGTAACCAAAGTTCCTCTGCATCAATTATCACGTTAACATTTTAAAGTAGCTCACAGTGACTGAGTGACGCATGAGAATAATAAATAAAAATGTAAAAACACGTTGATTTTAACCACACTTATGCCAGACACGCGGAAATGATTTCAGATCAATATTTGTGACACCACCACCACATACTCGTGATACGTGTGAGCCGCACTGAGAAAACCCTTAGTGGAAACACTGCACAGACTCACTCGGTGGAGGTGAAACCCCAAACAGACTCCTCGTCTCGCGGGCACTCAATTCCGCCGAGTCGTGGCGACTGCGCGAGTGTTGAATATTTCATCACAGCCACGCCGATGAAAAACAAGCCACAACAGAGCACCGCGCCCGGCGCACTTGTCCAGAAAGCGCAGCTTCAGCCTGCTCAGCGGGGCTCCCAAGCACCGCGTGCCTGCTCCCCCACACCCCCATGACTCGTTCGTCAATGAAGGCGGCGGCGGGCCGCGACAACCTAAACGAACCAGGGGGGGGGGGGCACGCGCAGTGCCCCCCCCCCGCCTCGTCTCCCCACGGGGGGGGGGGGGGGTTACCGGCGTTCTCCACCAGCGGATCACTGCCTCACCTATGGTGGTGATGTGCGAGGAGTGGAACTCGTTGTCTGTGAAGCGGCAGAGCAGGCAGGTCTTCCCCACGCCCGAGTCGCCGATGAGGAGCAGTCTGAAGAGCACGTCGTACTGCTTCGCCATGGCTCGCTGCTGCTGCTCCTCCTGGCTGCTGCTCCTCCTAGCTGCTGTTCCTGCTGCTGCTCCTGCTCTTCCTGCTGCTGCGTTACGCGCAGCACACGAACCGGAGACGCCTCCACAAGCGGAGCCGCGTCTGTGTCTCTCCTGCGCCGCCGTCGATGTTGGCCGCGTTTACAACCGCCGCACACCGCCACGGGGTGGACGCGAAGCGCACATCGCCTCCACGCCGTGGGGCGACAGGCGCGGAGCGCGGAGCGAGCGGCCACCGCAGGGGCGGCTCACTCGCAGGCTGACGCAGCCAGCTCGACCGCACCGGCCGGCACCCCCCCCCACCACCCGCCTCTCCTCCTCGCTGCTTCCTCGCCTCCTATCGCTCCTCTCCCCTTCCTACCGCTGTCCTCCTTCGCCTGGACTCTACCGGTTCAGGCGCGCTATGGTGGTGGTTGTTGTTGTTCTGTCTCCGCCTCCCCGGTGCGGGTTCGCCGCCCCCCAGCGTGACTCAGTGCACAGCTCCACTGCTCACCACTCACCACTCGCACCACTGCTCACCGCTCACCACTCGCACCACAGCTCCACTGCTCACCACTCGCACCACTCACCACTTGCACCACAGCCCTCACCGCTCACCACTCGCACCACAGCTCCACTGCTCACCACTCGCACCACAGCTCCACCACTCACCACTCGCACCACTGATCACCACTCACCACTCGCACCACAGCCTCCACTGCTCACCACTCGCACCACGCTCCAACACTCACCACTCGCACCATGATCCACACTACCAATCGCACCCACAGCTACATGCTCACCATCGCACACTGCTCACCACTCACCACTCGCACCACAGCTCCACCGCTCCCCACTCGCACCACAACTCCACCGCTCACCACTCGCACCACAGCTCCACCGCTCACCACTCGCACCACAGCTCCACTGCTCACCACTCACCACTCGCACCACTCACCACTCGCACCACTCACCACTCGCACCACAGCCCCACCGCTCACCACTCTTACGCGGCGCTCACCACTCACGCAGGGGCCTCACTGCTCAGGCGGCACGGCGCTCACTGACAGCGGCTGTCGCAGCAGCGGTGACAGTGACAGCAGCGAACAGCTGATTTGGAGGGGGGGGGGCGGAATCACGCCCTCAGTGACGTCACCACGCTCGCCCGCGTTTGCCCCCCCCCCCCACCCAGGTGAGGCGGCCATCGAGTGCGGATGGAGGCCACGTGGAAGCCACGTGTGGACCGGTGCGTGGGCAGACCGCCGGCCCCGCGCTCAGCGTTCTCGCGAGCTGCCCGTGTCCTGTCGGTGCACGAGGAATGCGCCAAATCGGTCGCGGTTATAACACCGTGGGACAACCCCGCGCCTAAACGAGATGATCCATCTCAAAGGACCCAGGTGCAATATTTGAATGCATGGCAAACAAAGACTGCATGCGCATCGTTAAGAGTTGGCAGGTGGGTGACAGACAGTTCGCGATCGAGTACACAGCAGGGGTATTGTCAATGCGAAATCTGTATGGCTACGCGAATCAATGGCAAGTGAAGGTGCAGTAGATACATACGTACACAGTACAGTAGTAACTATACCATGGTAGTTTCACGGAGCGACTTAATTTTGTAGCCTGTTTCAGTGCTGTTAGGAATTTCAATTCGAGTGCTTGGTTAGGACACGTCGCAAACAATGGATGGTGGCTGGTGGTCATCAGGGAATGATTCTTGGGTTGTTACACAGAAGTTTTAGCCTTTCCATTGGGATTACTCTCACCGTGTCAAATTGATATCGGAGCAGAGTAATTTATTTAAGATCAATGTCATTGGCTATTTATGTCTTATAGGTTTTCTGTACTGTATACTGTCCAGGGTGGTCCAGATGTCTTATAACCCCAGTTACATTTTCTAAAACGTATTTTTTAAAGTAAGGTTTATATAAAACAGAAATGAATATGCAAAGGAAAGCAATGTTAAGGGGTAAATAAATTGGGGGTCACAAAACATCTGGACCACCCTGTACAGTGCAAGAGCCCAAGAATCATCGCTGATCATGGCTGCATTGCTGCTGTGTTGAGCAGCTGTAGCTAAGCGAAGGTTGAGGTAGCTGTCCTCGGAAATCTGTAAGTCTTCCCAGGAAATACTTTTAAAATCCCGGTGTTTGTGTGGCTTGTGTAACAAACCACCACTCAAGACAATGCATTTCCACATGGTTCTCTTCCAGTATTGTGAGATGTTCTTCTTCCCATGACATGGCCTGGTTTTTTTTGTATTTCAGAGCTGGCAACCCTCCTGATGAGACATGTCGGCCTGAGACAGCCGATATCTAAGCCTGGTAATGTCGGCTGTGCTGTTGCGCATAAACGCTTGTTAACACGTGTTTGCAGCCACACCTAACACTTTTTTTTTGTTTGACTTCACAAGTGTGTACCCCCATGTAAAAGTAATTTCAGTAGCTCAAAAAGCGTATGATGTGTCAGACCACTTAGCCAACACCGCTGAGACCATGGGTTGGAATGTGGGTTTCAACAGGCCCTGATGAAACTGGGATTTCAAGTGTAGCGAGTTGATGGTGTCGGCCGCGCCACAAATGACTCGACACACTAAACACAATCTTGGGTGTGGTTTTTCAAATGATTCCGGCTGTACCAGCAGTGACAAACATTTAATTGATACGTGACTTCGCAATGATTGCAGAAAATATGAAAAGCATGCTCAAGGAGTGGATAAAAGGCATCTGAGAGGGCACCCACCGAGGAGATAGTGATGAATTCAGCTCGTTTGCAGATTCCAGGCAGATTATTACATTGCAGGACCTTGATAGATAGCGACGGTCTGGTCAGACCTTCCGTTAGAAGTGGATTGATCAAGGCTGATGATAATGAGCAATAATTTACAGCTTTTTGCCATGCTACTGCAGGATGAAGAGCTCCCCATGTCTTGTCGGTGATGAGGGTTGTTTTACCATACCTTACCACATTGGTCGGTGAAGTTTAGTGAAGTGGGAGGCGGGTTCCAGTACTGCTTGAGATATCACTCACCACTGATGTTAGCTGTGGCTGGGAATCAAACTCATGTTGCCACTGCTGTCCCCAAAGAAAAAACAGGTAAATATCAGAACAAATGTGAGCCCCTCCGTTGACTCGCTGCATTGGCTACATTGGCACAGTGATGGCCAACAGGGGACCACAGCCCTATGCAAATGTGTTCGAGTATCTGGTTGTGCAGTGGCACCGTGATCGATGACTTGAGGAGCTGTACTTTATCCTCACTCCACAGTTGATACTGAACTGCTGAAGCCTCCCATAATAAATGTTGGCGGCTGCCATTGCGCCTTTACTTATGTAGGCTGTTGAAGGCTAAATACATTTTATTTGTGAACTTAAGCTCAGTTTTCCAAACAAAATGTGTGGCAATATGAACGGTTGATTTTTGTTTGTTTAGATCAGGGGTGGGGAACCTTTTTTCTGCCAATGGCCATTTGTATATTTAGAACATCATTCGCGGGCCAAATTATCAACTAAAAAATGTGCCTGTTATATTTGGTCAAACATTTTATTAACTCACCCCTAATTTGATGGCTGGAACTGCTTCTCTTTGGTGAGGCGTGTGATGTTAGCTGGTATTGATTATGTTGCTACTCGCAACTGCTTTTCCAGGTTTGCTCCTAGATTTATTGAATTTTGAGTCCCGCCTGCGGTTGCCTTGGCAGGGCCAGATCAAATGATTTCGCGGGCCTTATACGGCCCGCAGGCCGGACATTCCCCACCCCTGGTTTAGATTATGGTAGTGCATAGCTGAGTTTTACGAGGCACGTGTATATTGGCGTGTATAGTGTCTCTGTAGTGTAGCGCCAGTACCGAGAGAAGGGTGGTACTGTCGATGTGGAGTCTCTCTCTAGCACCGGGATGAGTACGGAACGGAAGGGCCCCTAAGGGGCATAGTTCGGGTGACAGCGAAAGAGAGGTCGGGTGAGGACATTGTAGTCTGGGTGAACCCGAGAAGGCACGTGACTGGATGAGGTAGTAACGAGGGCCAAAGAGGAGGTGAGAGAGACACATGATGTGGGCCCAGAGTCTCCGAGAAGGATCGGGAAGGGGGCATGGCCAAGGGCAGAGCCTGGCTACGCCGCAACCCATAAAGACCGAGTCCCGAGAGCGATTTTGGCTGTTCGTCTCTGGGAATGAAATCCCCCGGCTACGTGTTTGGTCTTTGGGCTTCATGCACGGCATCGTGGACCAGGCAGGGTGTTAACTCACCTGGTCCGAGTATATAGTTATCCCGCTGAGTGGTTACGTAGCTAACCGTAATGGTCACCACCCCAAGTCATTATCCCTTCGAGTGGTTATGTAGTTACGCGTGGTGGTTACCACCCTATATCGTTATCCCGTAAAGTGGTTATATGGCTACCCCGTTGTATTAAGAATAAACGTGTTGCCTCCAAGTTCGAGTGTGTGCCTCTGTGGAACCCACTACTACTGGCGTCAGAAGTGGTAAAAATAACTAAGTGATAGCCCAGGGTAGGTGTAATGTTCACATGAAGGAAACAACTCACCAAGACGTCTTCGGACGACGAAGACGACGTGGGGATCGTTCCCCAGACAGCCCCGGGGATCGCAGCCCTGGACAGAGGGTGCGAGGCGGCGCTGCAGGTGGAACAGTGGGTTGACCATCATGCCGCCCCTTCGCCGCCATCGGAGAGAGAGCGCCGGGCACACCGTGCTCACCTCGACCGAGCTGCTGCAAACCGTGGCAGCGCTGATCGCCGAACTCAACCTGGAGGAGCCGGCGACGGAGCTCTGAGCGCTGGAGTCGTGAGACATCGACGCCGCTACTGCTTCCCATGCGCGGGAAAAGTTGGGCATGCAGCCCACGCACGGGTTGGCCATTTTGGTGGTCGGGCGGGACGAGGATCCCACTAAATTGGAACTCCCGCCAAAAACGCCGCTTGAAGTCCCATCACTCAAGCGACGGCTTCCCTTTGTGAAGGAATTCTCCGCAACGGGTGGCGATTGGGAAGCATTTCGTCGCCGGTTCTCCGCAAATTGTGAGTTAGCTGGATGGAAGGAGGTGGAAGCGCAGCGGGCGCTCCCCACCGCTCTTGATGATGACGCCTTGGTGGCATTCTACGCCATCCCGCCGACTGAAAGGCTCACGCTGCCAGAAGCATTCACCAAAATGGCGGCCATCTACGAGCCGCCGTCCAACGTTCGACACAAGTTTGCCGCGCGGAGGCGGGGGAGAAGCCGAGACGCCCCTCGCCTTCCGCAGCGCACTCTTGTCGCTGGTGCAGGCGGCGTTCCCCAAGATGGCACGAGCTGGACTGGACTCACTGGTGCTCAAGCGCATGCTGGCACTGGCGCAAGAACCTGGTGTAGTCCTGCCAGCTACGGAAGATGATGACCTAACTTCCCTCAAAATTGCGCGAAGCATCCAGGTGCATCTTCATTTAAAATGACGTGCTGGAGTGGCAGCGTGCACCGCACCTTCCGAGGTGGTTGGGGTGCACCCGAAGACGCGGAGGACCTCCCGGTATGCACTTCCATCGACGACAGGGGTTCAAGGAGAGGCGACGCAGAGCAACGAGGAAGGCGAGACCAGCGGAGGGGACCTTTTCTCACCCAGGGAGCGACCCTGTCATCTGCTACAACTGCGGCCTGCCATGACATGTCTCAAGGGTATGCCGTGCTGCACGAGGGAGGCTCTCCAGCCCGCCGTCATCCTCCACCCGGATGCCCTCAACTCCGCTGGGTCCTCAGGCGAGTCGCGGCACACCACACACTCGGCCCACCACACACTCGGCCCTTGCAACCATCTCACTCATCGTGGCATGCCTCGGTTCGCGTTTGTGCGTTGTACATTGTTGTTGGGCCGCTGAGCGTGGGAGTCGGGTTTTTGCCGGGAGATAGCTGGCCTCACCATCCAGGTCAGTGGTCGGAGTTAGCCCACCATGTTGATGCCGCGGCAGCGGGATCATCGGCCGTTATTGGCACGGTTCAAGGGGTAGAGGTACGGCTGCTCATCGACACCGGAGCATCCACTACCATCATTTCCGAATTTATTTTTAACATCCTGCCACAAAAATCTTGTACCCTTCGCCCTATCGAAATTCCGTGCTTTGCCGCGAATGGCGAGTCGTTGGGAATAATTGGCGATGGTGTGCATCGATAGCATTGACTTGACAGGACCGGTACTAGTCTCCACATCCCTGGCTATACCCTGTCTACTGGGAACAGATTTTTTGGGGAAAATGCCTCTGAAAATCCTGGTAGATCAGGGCTGTATCGAGTTGCCATCGGGCCGCCGAATGGCATTTCTATCTTCCCCAACTTGGTTGCGCATGGCTAACACCACGGTCCAAGCGGTGGCGAGCAGAACTGTTAAAATTCCCCACCCCCGGTGCGCAGATGCTTGTGCCCTTGCGGCTGTGAAAGCAGCTCGACCGGGAAGCAACCGCGGGAGGGATCTTATTGGGATCCTCGAATAAAGCGGCCTGGGGTTTGACACTAGTGAGGGCTCAGACATTGGTGTCCAATGACCAGGAACCTTTTATTCAGGTCTTGAGCACGGGGTTGGACACATCTGTAATACAGGCAGGCACTGTTTTAGCCCATGCATTGGCAGTGACTTTCGACAGAATCTTCTTGGTGAGGTTGGGGTCCTGTTGGCTACGGAACACGGGCAGAGGGGTGATGGAAAGTGGATGGACACACTCTGCTCCGAGAACCCTGATTTGTCAGACGGTCGGAGGGCTGAGTTGTGTACACTTTTATGGGAGTTTTCCAACGAATTTAGTAAGGGTAAATATGATATTGTCCATGCACAACTCTCTTACGTCACCGCATCAATATGAGTGATGCCGCCCCCATCCATCAGAATCCATACAGATTGAGCCCCAAAGAGAAGGACCGTGTTCGTCAGGCGGTCGACGAGATGTTGGCCGCTGACGTTATTTCTCCATCTAACAGTTCTTGGGGAGCTCCCATAGTCCTTGTCAAGAAACATGATGGGAGTTTGAGGTTTTGTGTTGACTTCTGCAAGTTAAATAAGATCTCTGTGGCTGACGTGTACCCACTACCGTGGATGGACAACTCGTTGGATGCTCTGTCGGGGGCGTGGTTTTTTTCAACACTTTACTTGCTCTCGGGGTTCTAGCAGTTGCCTCTAGATTAGAGCTCTAAACTCAAAACTGTGCTTCGTACACCACAGGGGTTGTTTGAATTTAATCGGCTCCCGATGGGTCTTCACTCAGCTCCAGCCACGTTCCAACGGCTGATGGAGCTGGTGTTAGCAGGGCTCCAATGACGTGATTGTTTTTGGCCGTACCTTCGATGA